TGCCATATTTGTAGGTTAAGATGCCATGTTTGTTGTACTGTGTGGAAAGTTTGCTAATTACAATGTATTACAGCTTTGAACATTTGTGAGCTAACAAATTTTAGCTCAGGTGATTCATCATCACCACAGAAGCAAAGCATACAAAGTATTACATATGTAAGTTATCTGCATGTAGTCATTTCACTATATATGCAAATTTTCAAACAATATGTCATGCATGACAAATACGGGTTTTTAATTTCCAACTTGAAACTTCCAAAGGAGTCATATAAGTTTTAACTGTTGTATTGCCAGAAGAGACCTACACATTCATCAAAAACACGTTGGAAAAGTGAAAGAGTCCTTCCTGGGTAGTAGTGGACATGCATTCACAGAGAGACTGATCACTGTAAGGTTTGAAGATGTTGTCTTCTCTTCCGTTGAAGAATGAAGCCAGGACTGAGAATATAAGGGTCATTGAACAGTTATTGACACTGGTTTAAAGATGCTGATTCTGGTATCTCTGCCAAATTTCACAAGGGCAAAATAACAAGACATATGTGGTAAAGGCAGATGTTCAAGCGATCCTGGAAAAGATGTTGCACTCTGCTTTGAGAAGTCATTTAAAGGCTGTTGAGTCATGCCCGAGGAGCTAGCTTCCTTTTTGAGAGTGCAGGGATTTATCAGATCCTCCATTCAACCTGAGCATTTGGTAAGTTCAGTTAGCTAATGCCCTAAGGTGTTTATCTAGATCTCATAGTCAAGGAAAATATTGCTACACATTATTAACTACACTTAATTTTTAAATGTTTAAAATATTTGTAAGGAGGAACTGTTAAAATATCTTTCATCTTCAATTCTAACTTTCAGAATGCAAATCAAAACCACAAATTTACCTTCGATAAACTTCATGTAAAAGGCAGAGAAAGATCTTCATAAGGATAATGAACTAGGAATGTCTGCTTTTAATCAGTGTGATAGTGTGTCTTTAAATCCATTGTCAAACTACCTAATAAAGTAAAATAAATAACTGAATGCTATTTGCAATTTCTAAATAATATCAGTTATTACCAGCTGCCTTGGGCTTTTCTAGGCGATTGAATAATTACCCTTTAATCAGTATAGTAATGAAGAACTGCCCTTTGTACGTTCTGGATATTTAGCTCCAACTTTATTTCATTAGGTTTATCTGTAAATCAGAGCAAGCAGCTGTTGCTTATTGAATACAAGGAGAGGTATGTTTCTATTTTAAACATGGAAGTCCACAGTGAATGTTCTATAAAAAATTGTGGATCTGATTGTCAGGTCTAGTCTGTAAGCATAAAAATGCACAATCATTTAATGGGGAATTTTTTTCCTGCCTTGGAACTAAATCCATCAGGTTTAACCGTTAATAAAGAAAAAGCCTATAGTTATGAATTTATTTGCTTTTAGATGCATGCCAGATCTGAAAAGGCTAAAATTAGTCTAAAAACCACTTTGAGAAAAGATGGAAGAAGATTATAAAATTCCTCATCAATCACATGTGAGAATAATATTGACAACAGCAACCAATAGATGAGGAAGAAATGCATTCTGATGGTGCAGATAGCAATATTGCCTTGAATTATGTCCCTCCTCATAGCCTGCCACGCAGCACCAGCACTTGCTTGCATTCAGTATTTTCTTAACATTAACAAAAGAGATACTCTTAGTATTGGGAATGGAAATTCTCCCTGAGGGAGAAACTTTGCTGTGATTAGATAGAAATTTGAATGAAATCAAACTTGAACTAGAGCTATACACCTCACCTAGCATACTGAGTGTGCAAACAGTTTTCATTCATGATAGCTGTAGCCTGGTCAGTTCAGATGCACCCACTTTATCTTGTCTGTTTCTGCCTCTGAACCCAGATGAGAAACACTTCTGAGATTTTGTCCCCATGCATTCTCACTGGGGAAATCTCTTCAGTGCTGTAGAAGGATGAGCCAATCATCATTTTGTCTGCAGCATCCCTACTACTTACTAAATATGGATTCTGACAGATCTTTCAATTAAAGCCAGATAGTTGCTAAGATAAAAGAAGATAAAGGCAGATTTGGAACAAGTGAGGAAGGCTGGGATTAACCAGTAAGGCTCATAGGGCAGAAAGTTGAAAGGTCTTGAGGTTGAGCACTTACTTAGATCTGGGGCCCCAACTGCTTTACCGATCTCTGCTTGGAACTGGCTCTGTCTGCCTTTGGTTCAGAGCTCAGAGAGGCAGAGGATGGAGAAAAGCCTGAACAAAAGATCTAAGAGAAACAAGGGCCAGGAAGTAAAGATGAGCTGTGTATTCATGAAAGGAAAAATGCATGAGGAAAAAGAAGATGTAAACCGTAATTTAGGGTCATCAAAGACAAACTGCACTGTCTATAATACTTTTGCTGGGTCTAAAGCTAAAAATGATATACTAGGACCAGTGAGACAGCTCAGTGGGTAAAGGGATTTCCCACCAAATCTGATGATCTGAATTTGATTTTCTGGATCCATGTAGTGGAGAATTGACTGCTATAAAATTGTCTTCCCAGTTCAACATGCATGCTGTGCTTGTGTGCATGAGCATGGCTATTTGCATGTGCATTCACGCATATCTGTACACATAAACACGCATAGAAACCAATTGTAATGATAAAATCGCTAAAAAGAGATGATGTAGTATCTCCCTTCAACCACAGAGAACATATTCTCATGATGCTACACAGACCCTGGAAGGCATTAAAAATGTCAAACACCATAATATTGTTTTTTTTTCTACACATACATGCCTATGACAAAGTTTAATGTATAAATTAAGCACAATGAGATACTAATAAAAAAATAAAAGGGAAAATATTTTATAGTCTGAACTAAAAGTTGTTAAAAAACTTTTTAAATTTTGTTATTTTTCTATTTAATAGTTTTGGACTTTAGTTGAGTATGTTTAACTGAGATGACAAAAACATTGATGGATGGTAAACTACTCAGTACCACAAACACAGAAGTAAAATTAATGTGGCCATTTCACAATTCTTGATATAAGTGCATCTTGACCATTATTTGGTGGAGAGGGTGAACTTTGCTGCTTCGTTATATCCAAAGTGGTTTACTTCCTAACCTTTGCTAAGTATCTGAGATTTTCCCTTCTCATACTTATTGCTAATTGTTTACATGCCTTCTTTTTATTCAAACCCAAGCTATTTTTATGCAGAGACCATAGTCACTGATGAAATATCATTTTCTAGCACACGATTGGGGTCAGCGACTAAATAAATAATGATTTGATTGATGATATTGGATTGTCTTCTTCTTACTATTCTAGCTAGAAATAATCTATAGTATTTTGGTCACATTTCTGTGTTTTCCCTCCCAAACTGGATAAAAAAGAAATCAGAAAAGAAGTTGAAAGAAAAAAAAACCTGAAGTCAGAAAAATACACTTTGAACTCACTACTATTTATAAAATAGAATAGATTCGGGGGCTGAACAGATGGCCACACTGCTTCTGGTACCGATCTCCTGCTGTGTCAATCGCACAGCAGCCAAATGACCGAGGACACCATCATTACTTACGCAATCAAATAAGTTGGAGTTCAATTCTCAGCACCCACATGACTGCTCACAAAGGTCTGTAGCTTGAGTCCCAGCGTACCCAACGCCCTCTCCTGGCCTCTGTAGGTATTGCATGCATGTGGCACAGGCATAATTAATTGGCTTGGAAAACAGCCACACACATAAAATTAAAACAAAAACAAAAAACATACAAAAGAACCCCAACAATTTCATGTTTTGATTTTTGAAAATCATTTATATAGGCTAGATTACAAAAAAATTGTAGGCAACTGTAGCTTGCCTTTTGGTAATTTTAAGTGTCTTTCAAAGATAAACTTTTTTTTTTTTTTTTTTTGCTGTTTTTAAAATTTTGTTTATTTGTTTGTTTTTGTTTTTCGAGACAGGGTTTCTCTGTATTGCTTTGGAGCCTTTCCTGGAAGTAGCTTGTAGGCCAGGCTGGCCTTGAACTCACAGAGATCCGCCTGCCTCTTGCTCCTGAGTGCTGGGATTAAAGGTGTGAGCCACCAATACCATTAAATCCAATTTATTACTCCTTTGCTTTTAAGGGTTTCTATAATCCTTGCTCTAAAATTTTTAGGATTGTTTAATTATAATTCTCCACACAGCATCCACCAGTCATTTCTCAGTCATGTCTGAGTCCATCCCTGGGTTTTCCATTCCCTTTCACTGCTCTTCCCATGCATGTGTGCTCATCACTGTCGAGCATCGGTTATTGTACTTAGCAAGTCTTATGATGAGGCCATGTCATTCTTCCAACTTAGTTCTCATTTATATATATATATATATATAAAGTCTATTCCAATTCCTTTACTTTTTCTTATAATTTTAAAACCATCTTTGTATTTCCTCCAGGGTAGTTAATTGGTGTTTGGATGGGGAAGATGCTGAATGATGGTTTAGCTGGCTTTAAAGCTTTAAAGTCTGGGTAGCAAATATAATTCTAACAAGAGGACAGCAGGCTTCAGACAGTGGAAAAAAAAAACATGCAATAGACTTTAACTATTCACTGATCAGGCAAAGATATTAAACTTCCTACCACTGATCCTCCAAATCCTAGGAATGTAGGAATGTTGACTGGCTAGAGTTACTGATGACTCACAAGATAAAGGAGTTTTGGAGTCCCTCTTGCAAAAAGAAAACAACCCCAACTACACGCCAGAGAGATAATATTGCAGCTGTTCTGTGTTGTCGGCTGTGTTTGCCAGAATGGATCTGGCAAAAGATCCATATAGCCATATTGATATTCTTATATACACCATCATTTTGAGGTTAAAATCCCCCGCCTGTCTCACATCTCAAAAGGGAATTTCTGAAATGCCTAGGAGCCTCATCTTATGCAGTGAGCTAAAACTCATTCATCATTAGCGTGACTGTCTGGCAGTTTCCAGGCAGGTCTCTGCAATGCTCCCTTTCTTCCATGTATTAGACAGCACAGCACACTTCGAGGCATTTCACCTGGGTGAAGATCTGTACCTGGCTGGCTCGTCAGTCCTGGGAGAGAGTCCTGCAGCTGATAAGTTGAGGTTGATGATGGGGTGCCATCAGCTGTGCTGTTTGATGTCATATATGCCCCATAGGTGGATGCTGAGTAATACTGAGCATATTGGTTTTGGCCAAAGGCTGTGTAGGTTGGGTAATCCTGAAACAAATAAATAAGGCATGTGGATATAGAAGAGAAATTACCATCTAGTATAGTCCAAGAAAGCAAGTAAACACCATCACTATGGTAACTAAATGAATAGTGTTCACCTCCATTACTTTCCAGTCCAAGGCTTGGAGCTGATGCTAATGAGTGGAGCCTATCTTCTGGGTATCTCCCAAATGCAGCAGTAATGAATTTCTCTAATAGGTTTGTGAACAAGGTCTAATACATGAATGCACATCTGACTGGTTTGCTTATACTTCATTTCACCCTCTATAGTTACTAATATGAGGTTTTATGCCATTAATATTATGCACTGAAAGGGGAGAGGCAATGTAGTCAGTCCCTAATCATTCAGTCCAGTTTTATACATTGTCTAACACAACGGGCAAGCAGGAGTTGTACATAGTCCTGGCTTCGACACAGATCTCAACATGTATATTATTAAAGTTTTATTCCTCTTCTAGGCCTTGCTTTTCTATTTGACATTGGCAGGCATTTTAAAGTAAATAAACAGATTTCCTAGCCATCACAAGCAACCTGCTACCTGAGGCTTAACTTTAAGTCTTCAGTGAGGTTTTACAAATCATTCAGTTTCTCTCCTTTGCTGCACATGAAAATGAAAGCATTGAAACACCCCACCCCCGACCTGTTTTCCATTAAAGAAAGAACCTTAAAGTGCTGAAAAAATGATCCTTCAATAGCCTTTTACATATTGAAATGGTGAGCAAAGGCTTGTGATAAACGGTGTTTAATATATCTAGCATGGTTTAGCCAAAAATGTTATCAGTGATGACAAATCCTTGGTCAAAATGAAGATCCCCAGTTATGGTAAGTTCTGAAGGGAACAAAGACCTATATTTGATGTCATTTCCAAAAAAGAAAATTTCTCTGTATAACTAACATGCATATTACCAGGAAGCATTAAGTAATATGGCAGAAAACTGAAATTCTGTTAGCCTCTTCATCTCTGGATCTGATGTTCCCTATCTCATTCTGTGAGCCAAGTAGAAAGCCTCAATATTTGATCAGTTTTTAGCAGCACTTCTTTCTCAGACTGAAACAGTGATGACAGATGAGTGATGCTATCTTTGGGTCATGGTGTTGTTCTTGGGGTTTGCTCCCTGACCAATCAGAACCTTGTCCTTGGTACTGTTATTGCCATTTTATATTAAAAACTACCAAGGCCAGAGCTCGACTTGCATCCTGGTCACACAACTCATGACTTTCTAGACTTTCTAGCGATAGCCTGGGAAGTCAACTCTAGCATCTGTGTGTCATAGCTCTGCCAGCCTGCCATGGGTCTCACCAGAAAAGGGTGGTGTACACCAGGAAATCTGGCAGCAGGCTCTGGAGGAGGTGACTTCATTCAGATACATCTCCAAGATTTCTCCCCCACTTTTCTTATTTCTACTCTTAACTGCCTTTATCTTAGCATTCTTCATTTAGTTTTTAAGCTATTGCACTTATTTTCTAATTTGTCTCATTTCCATTTCAACTTCCTTCAGAGTGATTGTTCCAAAGCACATATTATATGATACTATTCTATTAAAAATTACTATTCCCAGTGGTCCTAGACTCTAATCAGAACTCTTAATGAAGACTACAAGGCCCGATGTGACCCGTAGTTGACTCCCCAGATGATGAAGCTTACAGGATCTTATATGACTGGACCTGGTCTACCATTGTCTATGCTGTTTCTCTCCACTCCCCTCATGGGTGACCTGAGCTCCAGGCTTCCTCCAGGTCAATGACACATTCACTCTTGCTGCCGTTGTCTTCCTGTAACCTCTTGTTCTTATTCATCACCTAATTCCAATGACTTCTGACCTATTCACAGCTCCCATAGGAAAGTCGTGAACAATGCTCTTCTGTGCAATGCTAGATTTCCATGAACATTTTAGAAGAGTCTTTTGGCTCACTACTAGTTTGTTGTTTACTTTGCTCTGGAGACTGAAAGGTCCACGAGGAAGGAACGAAGCCTACTCAGTCACACCACCGTCCCCAGGCCCTTCCTATGTTTATCAGATACTCAGCATTTTTTAAAACTGATAAATTGGTATTCAAACAAAATTGAATCTCTTTTGGGGACATTTGTAAAGTTTTCTCTCCTTTGTGAATCGTTTTTGTATCTTTCCAGGGATCGTTGTGTTTCCTTTATGATGTTTTTATCAAGTATGTATCACAGTGCTTACAGCCACCTAGTCTACCTCTCTCTGTGTTGTATCTTAACTGTTTCTTCAGAGGGACTATCCACTTTGAGAGCACACTAAACAAAGATTTAATGATATTTGAACTTTAAGTTCCTAGTCAAAAAAAAAAAAAAAGATGAATATCAAGTGCTCAATAGATGTCTTATGTTTCAATAAACAAGTAAATTATTTTCTAGCAGAAGACATCAGAATTTTTTTTCTTTTTCTTTATTCTTTTTCTTTCAGAACACATAGTGCTATCAGGTAATTTTAAATTAATCACAAATTATACTGCTTATGTCTATCTGATAGTTTGATGCATAATATTTTAACAAAATTTCCTTTTAACCTTTTGTTATGCTACTAAAACTACAAGAAGGAAATAATAGAATTCTTTTTATGAAATCTGAAGAGAAAGCATTTGTGAAATAACTTACGCTTTAAAAGGCATAAAGCAAAGACATTATAGTAAGAGCATACTGTCTGTCTAGTCTCAGTCATTCTGAGCATGGTTGAGAACCAGGAAACAAGGGCACAATCCTGAAGTGTCAGCATAATTGCTACTCCTCTGTGTTCAAAGATGCTCATGTAGGAACATTTGCTAGAAGTCCATGTGTAACTCTATCATCCTTGATTTTAAAACTCATGAAAACATTAACAAACAAAATGAAGAGAAGAGTTAAGACCTACAAGCGGCACATTCCATGATCAGAGAAAAGTAAAGATCTCAGGAAGGCAGAGAAATCAAACATTTACTAAAAGAAATAAGAGATCTAATTATTAAAATGTAAAAGCAGCTGCACTCCTGCAGGCCTTTTATTTAGTTACTGCTGCTGCATTGAAAGGATCCTGTCTTAGAATGTACACCACAATCTTACGATTGCTTCCAGTTCAATTTATTAAGTAATGTTACCTTAAGTAAGAATTTTCTATCAAGGGAAATAAAATTGTTTACTATAGCTTTGAGATAAAGACATGCAGTATATTCCATGATAACATGACACATGATTAAAATGGCCATAGTTCAGGGGTTTAATGAACAATCATTTAATAATGAACAAATCTCAGTAAATGACAATAAAATAAGACCCCTAAAATTCTGAATAGGTAACTTTTTTAAAGCTCTACTGAATTATTACCTTAGTTTTAAATAAAGAACCCTATTTTAAGATCATGTACACTTCCAAGGCAATCTAAAATAACTATTTGAGTTCAAATTACATATATCACATTCTTAAAGAATTCACTGCCAGGTGGTGGTGGAGAATGCCTTAAATCCCAGCACTAGGAGGCAGAGGCAGAGGCAGAGGCAGCAGATCTCTGTGAGTTCCAGGCCAGTCTGTTTTACAGAGTGAGTTCCAGGACAGCCAGGGTTATTTTACAGAGAAACCCTCTCTTGAAAAAGAAAAAAAAAAGAATTAATAAAATTGTATTTAAGTAATTTCTTCCCTAGCCTTCCCCAGGGAAGAGCTCTCCAACTGTGTATCCAATACCAAGTGGCCAACCTTGAAACAAAATAGACAAAAAAGTAACATTATACACACTGAGCAGGTTGCATTTATATATGTAGGGCTATATATCTAAAGTTAAGGAAAATGAGACCATGAATTTAAGAGACAGCAGAAGGGGGGCTTATGGGAGGGGATAGAGGCAAAAGGGAAGTAATTATGATTTAAAAACTTTTTAAAGATTAAAGGAAAACAAGACCCTTCCCAAGAGCACTAGAAAGGTAGAGATGGAATTATAAAACAATTATAAATTATAAGGAAAACCTTCTAACATACAACAGAAATTTCAAAAAGTATAATGCAAAAATCACAGTACCTGTTGTGAGCCACTGAAGTTTGTTGAATTGGAAACGGAATTATTTGCATAAATAGTAGATGATGGTGCAAAACTGGAGCCTAGAGAGAAAGAGAATGCATTTTATCAGTTTCCATATTCACTCAGCTGTAAAGGGATGAAATTCAGTCACTTGTGACAGTGTGCATGGAACAAGAGGATGCTGTGCTAAGTGAAGTAAGCCAAGCACAGAAAGACGCATTACTCATAAATCCTCACCATGTAGAATCAAGTAAGCAGATCTCAGAGAAGCTGAGAGGACAATAATGGGTAGCAATTATATACTATATTAAAGTGCATGTCCAATAACACCCCACTCAAGAAATAGGTACAATTTCTAAGTGTAAATTAGAACACATTCTATTTGATCAATATTTTTTGTGAAATGATTAAAAATATGTCACTTTGTATAATTTAGTGAGAGAGACATTCCTTGAGTTTTGTTGTGATGTTACTAAAATTTGAAACTGAGAAATCTGAAAGAAGATGTGTTCAATTCCAGCCTCCTCCTGATAGCAAGCAAAGGTTTCTGAGGGAACCTGAAGAGCTGCCTCCCCAGCCCTGCACCCTGAATCACTCCAAACAGTCACTTAGGAAGACATCAGGCTTCTGTCTGCCCAGCCTGGTGGCTCTCAGGTGGCTTTGCTTGGCCTTCATTTCCTGCCCAAGCTTAACCTGAAGTGTTTGTGTTGAGTCCCATTCCCACACCCAGACCCAGACATTTTCATCAGAGTTCTGCCCAGTTGTCTTTTCTGAGGAAATGGTGTGAGCTGTGATGAGGCTGGAAACTGTCTCTGTGACTCACTGTTCCTAGGACTGAAGTCACAGAGGAACATTTAAGGGATCTATTTTTTCCCCTCCCAGGAACATGTTTCATGCCTGTTAACTTACCTGGCATTTGGTAAGAATAAGGTGTCTGGCCTGGTTGTGGGGTAGAAAATCCAGGGCTGTAACTGAGGCAGCCACTTTGTAATGGAGACTGAGTTTGGGAAAGCCCACTTTCTGTCTTGATGGCTGGCAACATCACACCAAGATCTGTTCAGAAAACACACACGGAAAACAATTGTCCAGTAAGAGACTCTCCTGAACTGGGATTTCCACTAGCATGTAAAGCTATCTACCAGTCAATAGGGATTACCCGGCTATTGCCAAAGGAGAAGACGGTAGATGTTACCTACCATAAGCAGGCAGGCTGTAGGGCTGTCCTGTCTGTGAGTAGGCTGTGTACACTGCTGGCTGCTGCATTCCCGAATACTGAGTCTGGCCTGCATAGGCCGACATTGTTTGAGCTGCTGGTGTAGAAAGAATGTGTGGATAGGGCCTAAATATCAGAAAAATAGCATTACTGTGGCAACAAAGACAGCTTCGATTCAGTGAAATTCCATAACACCCAGGAAGTAAATCCCCCCTCTCTTTCCCCAACTTGTCATAAATGAATAAAGTTGAAACAAAGTGAATAAAAATTTAAAAAGGAGCCCAGGCTTTGATGCAAGCCCAGCTTGATGACCCGAGAAAGAGAATTTAAAGGCTTGAAGATGAGATTGCATCTCTAAAATAAGCAATTGGGTTTAGATGGCATGTTTAGTATCCTCTAGATCTGCATTTCTTACAACTGTACCAGCATTTCATTTAGTATACCTTCAGAGAAGAATGGCCATAAGCCAGCTGCTGAATTACTCATAGCATAGTTACTCTTGCCACCAGCGGCCTAGTGCTGTATATTAATCATAGAAGTCTACTTAACAACCTTTCCAAGAATTCTCTATGCAAAGTTGGAAATTTGAAAAAAAGGACTTGTCTTCTCATAAAGAAATGGAATGCCATTCCCTCTGTCGGCTTGTTTTATACAATGTTCCCAACTGGAATCTAGTCTTTGGCCTATATAAGGCATCCTGGGTGTGGAATACATAACAGTATATTTTAATGTGCATGTATAGGAAAGCTCACATTTTGGCATAACTGCTAAACAAGCTAATTCAGATAGGAACCCATTAATCCAATGAAGCTCAACTTGAAATCTTGAACCATTTATAGTGTCCTCAAAGCAGACAACTATACCAGTTATAAAAATGACACAGTACTCTCAAAAGTGTGTCCTTAAAACAGACAACTATACCAGCTGTAAACACAACATAATACTCTCAGAAGTGTGTTTATTGTAATTTGGAATCTAAGTGATCTACTGGATTATAAAATATTAATGTTTGGGTAAAATATGATTTCTATGCATTTTCTTATATGGATAATCACTGTTTTTAAAAAAAATTTCTTTGAAAATAAATGAGTATAAACTTATTTTAAAACCCAAATTTAGTGCTTATTCACTTAAGAGCTAAAGTACATTTCAAGTTTATCTATTATTCTTTCAGTTAGCATCGAACAAGGATAGTTACTTATTTTCAAGATAACATACAAAATCATTACACAGTAAACATTTGAAGCAAAGACCTTGAATAGTAGGAAACTGCAGATTTCTCAACAAAATTCAAACTTGTGCACCAAATGCTCCAAATTTCAAAACAATAATAATATCCGAGTGTCCTGGTTAGAAAAATTTCGAGGCTTTGTTTATCTACATGCTTCTTGCTTTCCTCAGAGCATGGAACCATAGAGAAGAAAGGAATTATCTAGAAAAACGGGATATTTCTATTTCCCCCTCGTGTAAGATAAACTCTTTCAAGTCTAACGCCAGTGTTTGCTTCAATAGTTATATAAATGTTTCCTATTTAAAGTTGCCATGTTATGTAAATATAAATTAACACATGTAATTCCCAAAATATCTCAGACAAAACCGAATGTGCTAGGCACTTACTTTGATGGATACAGCTGTGGGGAATACTGATGTGCTGATCTGGGGCTGTAGCCGCTACTCGTTATTACTATAAGACACAAAACGACAGCGCAGGGAACATTACACATCTTCACTAGAGAGTGCATCGCCTACTTAAAGGAACTGCAAACTAAACAGCGACTCTCACTTTCTCACATTCACTGCGCAAAGAAGCAGCTGATTAGACACCATCTTCATTTTAAAGTGTTTCAAGTTTTGCTACAAGAGCGTGAAGTACTCACCCCTCCCACAAACACTCTGTAAGTCTCCCATTTCCTCAGGTCAGTGTGTGCTCTTCTTTCTATACTGATAGCCTATTGGCAAATCGTTTGGTTACACAGTAAACTTTTGCAATACAAACGTCAATGTTTTTAAATGTGCAAACTTTACATTTTAGCTCCAAATATGCATGATGTTGACATACTGGCTTCATATTCATTCTAATTAAAATAGACGTTAAAAAGTTTGAGGTTCAAACTGTCATCCCCTAATTGTAAAATGCTACTGTTTCCAATTTCCTTCTGTCCTATCAATCAGAGAGGTACTTAAAAATGCACGGTCAAGAATGTGCTGGTAAAAAGAATCTGCATAGAGTGCATGGGTAATAACCCACTGTATTTTAAGCAGTGTAAAATGTTGTACCAGCTATATTTTCAAGCCTGTTTAGAACCATCAATGAGAAGGCCTTAATAGGGAAAGTCAGGTTATTTTAATATTTCATTCAAATGCTTGTCCCACAGTGGAATGTATCCAAAAATTCAGAAGTTTTTCTCCCCTTTAGTCATCTGCCTTGACTATGACAGATGTACTGCACATATATGGGTTCTAATATGTTGAGCCAGTTCCCTCAGAGCCAGTCTGTACTGGGTGAGCACACAGAGTGTCTTTATTAGGCCATCTGCTGTTCATTCACATTTCAAAAAGATTAAAGTAGTACACAGCCCAGTGCTGGCATGAGTTTCATCTAATCAATCATAGTTAAACTTCAAAGAACTACACCCTTTCTGAGTTGTTCATATGAATGTTGGAGCTAAACTTTAAGAATGGCAAAAAGTGACAAATAGGCTTATGTTGCTGACTGGTTCATGCAATATGATCTATGCCTACGTCCAACTGCCATCAAGTGCCCTGTGAGCTTCACAGACATAAATGGAAAGTGCTTTAAATGCTATTTAGTGGGTAAGTGTCGAATATGGAAATCAAATCTTAATTTTCATGGCAATAGTGTAGTAAGCATGTGTTTCCCAATGCTATGAATCAGTTTTGATGTCATCAAATACAACTTTAAAGGTGTTAAGTTCTAAACATTTTAGGAACTGAATTAAAGTGAATTTCCTATACATAGTTGGAAATAAAACATTACTTTTGCACTTAATTTCTTCAAAACTAAAGAGAATTTTTTAATACATGAAATCTGATTACTGAGAAAAGACTCTCATACTATATTCCACGGACACTAAATGTACATTATTCAAAATTCCACAACATTGAATATTATAACAGAAAGTGGGTTAAAAAAGGTTTAATTCCAGGTTCCTTTTTCTGCTTTTTTGATGGGACTCAGTGTCAGAACAATCAAAACTCAAGCTGTTCATACTTATAGACTATCCTCAAGATGGAAAAGCTAAAGTGTTTTCAAATAAGACAAAATAACAAGAAATAGTAACATAACATCTTTTTATTAAATTAGACAAGCAGAATTCTATATTTCAGAAAAGACCCATACATGAACACCATTCTGAACATATAGAATACATTTTTCCTTCAATGAATGAATCTAGACCTTGTGAGAATAATGGACCCCAAACACTACAAAGGCTTGACTGGCCTTTGAAACGTTATATTAATGTGTATAAAACAGATGAAAAACAAAACCTTTGGCTCAGAAAAAACTGACATGATTATGAAAGGAATAAAACTTCTTTACTAAACATTATATTTTTATTCAAATTGATAAATTTCTAGAAAATTGTAAGCAACAACACAATTGTTTGAATGAGCTATGATTATGTTGATCATTGTAGACGCTGTCTCTCCAGAATTTTCTGCAGATTGCTCTGTGAAAATCTGGAAACCTTTGTGTCATGCCTCATTGCTATGTAGTGACTCATACATAGTCTTCAAAGCACTGGGCTCATTATACTTTATCATGTCTACAAACAGAAAGAAGCAGAATCTTTGGAATGCCTTGAGAATCATTTTAGAACTTGTAATGCCTATTACCCGTTTCTCAGAAGATGGGATAAAAAATGTTAAGGTTTTTACACAGATACATACATACATATATGTATATATATATATGTGTATGTATAATGTACAATATATACATTTACATATATGTATGATATATTATACATATATATTTAACTTAGAACCTTTCAGGAAGAAGAGAAGCAGTGGGGGTATTTAACCTGATAGGGGATATTTTGAAGTACCACAGTTGGGGTGCTACTGATATTTGGACTAGATGCAGAATGCTGCTGTGTATCTCACAGCACAGCCCTCAGCTACCTCAGAATCACCAGCTGTTGTGCAGAAGGCTCACTCTGGACCACTACTGCCAAATAAAGCTTTCATAGTGTGTGGTGTGTTCTGCATCTGAGTTAATTCAGGTAGCCCCCATCCGTGGGCAGTAACTACACAATTGGAATGAGGTTCGTTTAACCAGAAACAACTTCTCTTTATTTCACTAAATTTCAATTCATTGAAATTAATCAATCATATCTTGGAAGTGGCTGCTTTGCTTAGACCATGAAGCCCTCAAAAGTTCTAATCAGGAAATTAAGAAAGTGTATTTAGAGATGGCATGGATAACTAACAAATAAGAGCATTGCTTAGACTTACTCTTTCACTATCTTCATATTTCCCACCACAGTACCATAATTAGGGCCCGATTATCAACACATGGTTCTAGACTCATTTATGCTTGAAGATGTGGCCAAACCACTGTGGATGTCTTTGTGTATTCTTATTGGTAAAATGAATTGTAGAGTGCTGAAATTACACTTGGAGCTAGCAATCTGTAGCACAATAGCAATTACTTAATAATCCCATACCTTTCCCCCAGGTCACTCATACGCACTTATTTTGTAGAAAATTGATAGTAGTTATACTCAGCAAGCACTACAGAGTAATGCAGTATGTTGGTGCCTATGCACCTCCTGCGAGGCAGCTGGGCTGCTGAAAGGAACGTAGATCCGGGCAGGTGAGTCTTTATGCCAAGTTGGCACACTGGTATTTATTTCCAACTTGAGTACTAATATTTATGTGCTCATATGACAGCTACTCCAATTAGTGTGAACTGGGTCACCTGTCTCCATAAAAAATGAAATATATTCTCTACCACTACATTAGACTCAAAAGCATACCTCAACTCTTTCTCCATAAAGCACACCCACATAAAATCCATGCACATGGGAACACAGATAAACATAAAAAACAGAATTATAGAACTGAGGTTTAACTACCATAACACTTTTCTGGGCTTTATGTTTATCTTAGTGATATATGTATTCCTTCTCAGGTTTCCAAAATTTTATTCATTAGATAATAAGCCATACAAAATAGTAATATAAAAAAGTCTTTAAGTCAATTCAGTTTGTACCCTTTGTAGCCAGCTGGGAGTTATCAGGTATTTTATATTTAAAAAGGGTTGACGGTTAAAGACATACTATTGTTCTCTTTGAAGCATAGGACTTCTCTCCCAGGCTGGGTTCTAATGTAACCAGCATGTGTTCTCCAGAAACCCATTAACCTTTAATACTTGTCACTCAGCTGCCTACACAGGAGGACTTTCTTAAACCCAGGGAGGAAACAAGGCTATTTAGAAGGGATCAAATGGATAGCTTTACATCTAGAATGTTGGGCAGAAGGCAGTTTTTAATGTAATTTAAACGGGCAAGTTGAAGGAACAAAGTGAGCTATTATGGACCTAATTATTAAATTGATCAAGCAGTAGGTAAAATAATGAAGAAAGTTGGCTCTGCTAATGAGAAAGTCATGGGATTTCTCCAGTGCAGGCTGAATGAAGATTTGGCAAAAGGATTGCAACCACCTTTTGTAAAAATACAATCTTAAGACAATTAAATTGTTCTTCGGGAAAGTGGGCTTCTGGCTGACTTTATAAAGGTGAAAGCTCTTAACAGCTTTGATCCTGCACTGTTCTCAAGGAGGAGGATGCTTAAAGACCCCAATGTGGACACAGCAACACGAGCTAAAGGCTTTACCTGACCCAGTAAAAGTGTCAAGCGTTCCATCTCCAGTCGTGGTTGAGGTTTCATTGCTGTTCAAGGGCTCTGTTTTGACTGCAAGGAGAGACACTATGTGGAAGAATAAATACATGTGAGTTTTACTTCTAAATCCGTAGCCAAGACCCTTACTGCCAGTGATATATATATGTATATACACTTTCTAGCTCTCATGGGCATGCAAGAGAAAACTTGAGAAGTGGATGAAGAAAGTTTTGTTAATTTAGCTTCTAAATGGGCATGCATTTATAGAGGATTTATTCTAAAATCCTCTGGCTGGGCTGCTTCTCAGAGTCAGGCTTTTAAAGGCAGTGAGCCTTTGAAAGTAAAACAGCAGCTTTTGTATTTGCATTTTTGGAAGAAAAAAAAAAACCTCTCTTAAGCACACTTTCACACGGTCAATGGACAGAAGAGAAACCACCATTGCCCTCGTCACATCTAATCCAAGTCATAACAAAGATATTAAAAGCCTTTGCTTTTATTCTTCCTAAGAAATTTTTCAAAGAGAAAATTGCATTAGAGTCCAATGGAGGCATACAGAAATCTATGAAACCCAAGCCTATTCCCGTGGTGGGTGAAACAAGGTATTCAATAAATATTCTGAAAAAAACAATCAAACAAACAAACGAAACGAAACACCAAAAGAAAGTATCTTAAAGTGTTGGTTGTTTGTTCTATTTGACAGCATAACATTTTTGAAGTTATTAAGATAAGCACTGAATGAAAGATGATGTCTACAGCATTACAAGTATCTTTACAAAATGCTTGCCATATGTAATTTTGGCAAAACCCTCCCTTGGCACCGAAGCAGGCTGGCACACACTGTCATCATGGTCTCATGCAATGGAGGGTGGCAGTGGCAAAGCCTCTGCTCATTTGGTCACACCATATTTTCCCTTTGTCGGCAAAACCTTTCCACATGTATGTAGCACAGCAGTCGGGGAATAAACTAAGTCATTTTCTACTTAACACCTCACATGTATCCTGGTTGTATGTGGTCTGGTACAGTTAAGCAACTTAGAAGCAAGCAGGACACTAGGGAAGAATGTTGAATACTGGCCAACCATGAGTCAGTATGCTAGAAAAGACTAGTGGGCTCATATAGCACCAACAAAACCAAGCAAGTCAGCAATGTGACCCTGTTAGAGAAGCAGCTGATTGACAGGAAGCAGGCAGCAACATTACAGCCTTCTGTAGCAGAGTTAGTCAAACCTTCACTGAGGTCTGGGTTTAGTATCCACAAATAAGTAATAATGGGAATTCAGAGAACTTAAAGGTTGAATTCAGGGAATGAAACACACATGTGCACACACACAGGAATTACTTACTTTAGGGCTAGCCTCTTTTTGAATAGTAACAATAACCTGTCTAGTCTGGTTATTTTTATAATAATAAATAATGAATTGGTAGCTACTATATTTAGTAATTTTCATTCACAACATAAACAATATAGCTGACCTACCAGTGCAAAAACTATTTACTGTTATGAAATTATTTATTATGCATTCAAAGTGGACAATGTTTTAGAACTTGTATATTCAACAAAGCTTGATTGGGACTCCAACAGCTCTTTAAGCTTAACATTTACAGTTTGTATACCAATAGGTGGTGTGAAACTGTCTTATCCAGACAGTGGCTTCGAGTATAATAAAAATGTGATTTCCTTTTAGAGTAATTAAAAATAGTTCACTAAATGGAATTCTTTAAAACACTGGGATAGACTACTGGGCTATGTTGTGTATGTTTTCCTCATGGACTATTTTATAACAATGTGAAATAGCATGGTTGAAAGTAGATACAATAGCACATGCTCAAAATGTGCCTAACACATTCTAGGCACTCTAGATGAATGGGAGTGAATCATATAAATGATAGAACTCATTTCGCCCCATAGCAGTTAGTGAACACTGTCACCATCTTCATTTTTCAAACCACAGACTGAGACAAAATAATAAATAACTCGCCCTGATCACATTGCTGGTAAGAGCTTGAGTTTGACACTGGCTGGCGAACTCCCAGCTTTCCATTGTATTGCCTTCAAGTACCACCAGTTCATTGAGACTGCCATCTGATTAAAGACAGTCCAGGAAATGATCTAGATGGGTGTGAAGGCTACTCTGTATGATTCAAGGTCCCCATTTTATTTCTGACACCAATGATGAAAAGCATAATCCAAAGTCTTCTGTAACATTAAGACTAGAGACAGCCTCTTAGTGCCTCCACATTCTAATAAGGTATGCTCATGTTTAAAACATGTCCATACCTATAAACAATATTGTAAAAAGAGAGTTATTATACCTCTATGAGATGTATCACTTGTGAGATGAGAGGGGCAGAAGGTGAACTGAGTCTGACAAAACTGGTCTAGAAACCAGACATGATGATGGTCATTGGCTTTGTTACCTTGGATGCTAGCTTTGAGAGTTGATTTAAACATTACTCAGTGTTGGTTTTGATTATAATTTCCTGAAGTTGAAAGCTTCGGCAGCCAAAAGGAGAAAGAAGATGAGAAATGGAGCTTTGGCTCCATTTATAACACTGGTGACATCTTTCATTAATTTTAAAAGTTTGTATTCGGGAAAAAGAGGTTTATTTTGCTGAGAGAAGACATTCCTGGAGAGACTGTGAAGGAATACAGGAATACCGATAGGTGTTCAGTGTCTAAAATGAATGAATTCTAAAGTAACAAGCCAACAAATTGATACTAATACTTGGAGGAAAAATATGTACATTATTGTCAAATTGCTTTTCCTTTTCAGGTAAGGGCAGTATAAAATAGAAAGGGGCATGTTTATGACCATAGTGGCATGGAATCTATTTCATCATGGTAATTAAGCTGGGCTGAACCAGGTTAATTCTTGGATATAAAAAAAGGAAACAAAATCTACTATCTTTTCCCAGCAGATAAATTTGTTTTTACATTACATGGGCATTGGAAAATTTCTTGAGCTCCTAGGAATGTGCTGTTATTTGCTGTTATTCCTTGAAGAAAAGACTATTTGCTTTTTCTCAATTGCAGAAAACTCAAACAGGTAAACCAATACTTTTCATATCATTATAATTGTTATAAAACATTAACAAGAGATATTAGAAATTTTGATACTATAAAACAGGTTAAGTAGCATGAAATATACATTATACCAAAATTGTAAAAAAAAATGAAAATGTCAGGCTCACTGGGCTTTCAAATATATTTTAGTTATATTGACTTTTTGTCCACCTTATTTTTGTTTCTGCACTTTTAATGATATAACAAAACAGTCAAGGTACAAAACTGTTTTTTAACATTATGTCGATGGTGCTATGAAGAAAATGTTCATTAACAAAATGAATCTCCCCTTTTTACAATTTTTCCAAAGCTTATAAGAACCTGGATTTAGTACATCCAGAAATGCTCAATTATACTGTAATCCAAATATATATTTGGATTGTCATTTATTTTCAGGATAGCATTAAAAATCCTTTACACATGCATAATGGAAATAAAAACTTTGTATAGTAGAAAACTTCATGTTTTTCAGAAAAAAAAAATCAAGTTCCTGAAACCAATATCTTGAATTAAAATTAACAGTCATATGCAAATGCCCTATTGTGTAAAGCTCTGGAGCTTCCTCTTCTCAAAATAAAAAAGCTTCAATCCATTTCTCTAACAATAGGATAAAATCTCACTGCATCCAGAATAATTTTGCTAAGAAATACCTGCAACATCTGTCTAGCCACTAGCTCTCTTCTACCTACAGCTGGGTGCTAAGCAAAGAGACAAATAGTAAAATATATATGCGTATGTATCATTAAAATACATATATGTATATATACATAACTAGATTTTTTACAAAACTATATCTGTGTGTGTAGGTCTATATGTGTGTGTATACATATATAATGTATGTGTGTATCTAGGTTTTCAATACTTTAGATTTTTAAAGTAATTTTTACTATAGGCTATATCCAGATCATGTATGACTGATGTCAGCAGTCATTTACAACTTCTAAATTCTCATACCACTCCTCTGTCTTCATTCCTGTTCCCATCTCATTTTTCAAAGCAAAACTGATCTTTCCCCCTTAGAGTATCATTAGAATTTAGGCTTAACAGCAATAGGTGGTATTGTTTTGGGAAGAAATTCATTTTATTGTCAAAACACAGAGCTGGTACTCATTGGTTACACTATCCCACTTACACCCATGGAAGGTAGATCAATATTTGCAGTTTACATTTCATTTTCAGAAATCTGTGTTTAAACTAGTAATGTGTGTAAATCCACACATTTCCCTCTCAACCATAGCAATCAACATGGTGACTTTCTCATACAACTTATTTTGATCACGTTTTTTTCTTCTCTCCAACCCCTCCCCATCCCTGCCATTTTCCTTCCCTCCCAACTTCATGTTGGTTCTCTCTGTCCCTGATTTTGCAAAGTTTCTCAAGAAGAGCTCTAGAGCTCAGCCATTAAAGGCCAGGCTCACAGCTGAAGAAAAAAATAAGAAGAGATCTATTATGAATGATCCAATTTATAACACTACCAGGAAGCAGGCATTGCCTTCCAGTTTGAATTACCAGAATAGCACATCATTTATGTTTGTATAGATCAATGTATACACTCAAAAACTTATGAAGACCTGGTAGTGCCCTCTCCTCCTAATTGTACAACCAACAGTTAATTTTTTGTAAGAATTCAATAAAGCAATTTAAGACTAACAATCTACAAGAATATATATGTACTTAAATATATGTATAGTTGTAGAATATGACACAAAAATGACAGAAACAAATTTACTGTGTGTGAATTAGCTGTCTACATGTTGAAAGTTCATGAAGATTTCTTGACATATCAATTGCAAATTAAAAAACAAATCAACTGACAGCAATATCTTGTTTTTGATTCCCCAAGCCTCTTCTTTCAAGAATTCTTTTTGTTGTTGTTGTTCACAATCCATTAACATATTTGGGGTTTATTGTGTAATGTTACTGCAGTCAAACCTGCCTAGAAACACTCTTGTCTCTCTTCCAAACAGAGGAAGATTCCCTGATCCGTTCATTTTTTTAAGCTCCATGATGAATTAAATGTTCACCCACTCTGGTTGCACACTCAGCTTGAATACACCGTGACGTTCTTTGTCATTTTCGTGTCTCTCTTTGATCTGTTTTTTTAGTGCCTGAATGGTCAGTGGCACCTTTGTTTAGGGCCCTGGGTTCTTATTTTACAGTACCAAGCAAGGATTATAACTGAATCGTGATATGATTCAATTGAGTGAGAGAATAAAAGTTCACCATGTTTGACATTGTCCTAAGCATTCCCATACTTTCTGAGTATTTTTGTATATGACACGTAGTGAGTCACGGCTCCTGGAACTATTTCTAAAATTCGAATCAGGAATTACTTACACCAGGAAGAAGGTTCTAAAATCCCTATAAGTATTTTTTGTCTACAATATATCAATAGACTTGTATTAGTCATCATGCCAGATCTGCCCCATGGATTGTTTTTTATGGGCCGAGAATAACTATAAAGCTATGAGAGAATATTTTTTATGTGAAATCTGTATTTCAGTGTTTTGAAGTCAACTTTGAGCACAGCCAGGCTCAATTATGTAGGCATTGTTCTTGACTGCATCTATGCACTAACAGTGCAGCTGAAAGAATCAGAGTCCATGCAGCCCACAAAGCTTCACCACTGATCTGTTTGCTCAGCCCTCCGTCACCCTCCTTCTCTTTCTCTTTCTCTGAAAGAATCAGAGTCCATGCAGCCCACAAAGCTTCACCACTGATCTGTTTGCTCAGCCCTCCGTCACCCTCCTTCTCTTTCTCTGCCTCAGCATCCTGTTTGTATTATAGGCACACAGTAGCACACCTGACTCCTATACTTTACATTTCATTGAATTTAACAAATGATGAAAATTTGAGGTGGATATGTGAGTTTCAGCACAAATCTCCACATAGATTGATATAATAGGAACCAAGGTCACAAAACCTCTTAAATCACTTTAAGAAACGTGACACACTTGCAAGACAACAGAGTCTTAAGGTGATGCTTCAACTTACATACAATTCTGCAATTAAAATTTATTTTTAATATTAAGGGAAAGCAGGGGGAAGTCATCGGATTTTAGCTTTTCTTTTTTGGTTATAATACATTTTTCAAATGAGCTAAATCTAATAGTAAAACCATTATTAAAATAAGTATGTGAGGCCAGAGAGAAGGCGCACCAATGATAAGGGCAGAGACCTGAGTTCAGTTCCCAGTACCCATACCTAGGGACTCACAAACACCTGTAAATCCTGCTCCAGGGGCACATATGTGTGCATGTGCACGCATGCGCGCGCGCGCGCGCGCACACACACACACACGAGAGTGTGCAGAACTAAAATAATGAAAACAAATCTTTACAAAGTATTTTATCTTCCACAAGAGAGATCGCAACATGGAATATTTAGCTTATATCATAAAGAACTGCTGAGAAGTCACTAAAATTTGTTAAAATTTACCTATCAGTATGCCCACCAAGTTTACATCATTCGTCATTACTAATCCTACTCAATAATCTCAATAATAGTATCAATCAATGGTATCTTGACCTAATAGATGTCACCTGAGCATAACATTAGGAGCCAGGAAGGTGAAGAGCTTTACATTTAGAAAGATGTTTCTGGGTGAGATGGCATGCATCTGATGAAACATTCACTGCACCATTGTAAACCTGCATCACATGCGATTACATTATAATCATTTTAGTACAAATATCAGTGAGCCACAAATGGATTTTACATTGGACTGCTTTAGGAAAACAGCAAAATCAGAATATTATGCAACACAAAATGTTTTTAATACTAGAAAAGCAAGTGAAATTTAAATTTCATGGTCTATAAATACAGTTTTGTTGGAACTGGACCACGTTCATTTACATACAGCCCATTGCTTCTGAACTGAGGAGATGAGTTTCTGGGGCGGAATGAATGACTGACCCGCCATCATGGAAGAGCATCTACTATCTGGCTCTTTACCAAAAACAACCAAGAATAACTGCATCCTGGCACAATTTTTTTAAGCATCCTGGCAACAATTTTTTTAAGCATGAAAAGCATATTTCAAGCATGAAAATGGAAAATATTTGTAATTAAAACTATGAAAATATAAATATTGAACACAATAGGATGTTCATTGTTCATTTGTTATATATTTTAATTTAATCTAAAATAGACCAATGTCCAACCAAACTTTGTATATTCTAATTCCTGGATGAGATCTACACTTTGAAATCCTAAAATGTTTTAATTTTGAACTCGTGATTGCATATTAGTTATTTATTCTAGGAGAGTGGCCTTCAACTTTCCTAATGTATTTTGTTGCTACTTTATAACCATAATTGTGCTACTGTTATGAATTATAATGTAAATATCTGATACATAGAATATCTGATAGTTGACCCAAAAGGGGTCACAAACCATATGTTGAGAATCACTGTTCTAGGAGAATTCTTACATGTATGCATAAACGCCATTGATATCAATGGTTTGGAACATTTTAAGAGACTTAATTTATAATTTTACTATTTATTTATTTATTCAATTTATTTGTTGAGATGGGTTTTACTGTGGACTGAACTTAAAGTTTTCTACTTCTCCCTTCCAAGAAGCTGGAATTACAGGCATATTCCAGTGCGTCATGCTAGTAATTTTATTTACACAGAATTTATTATTGGTAACTTTTAAAATGGTAGGATAGTGAATGCTAATTTTATTTTAGATTCATTGGAATATTTATCAAAGAATTTAAAATAGAAGAAGCCTTGTTGCAGTATTAAGAATTTAAAATGTGGAAATAAATGGGTCATTAGGTAATTAAGTTTCTATGAATGCTCATTGGCTTTGACTGCTGTGAATGACATGATTTTATTACAGTGAATGAACCATATAAGATTTAGATGATCCCTCCTGGATGGCATCACCCCTACATGTGGAGTGGGGGGGTGGGGGGGCTAGAGGGATGCATTGAGGGGGGGAGAGAGGGAAAGAGAAAGGGAGGGAGAGGGAACTGGGATCGATATGTGAAATAAAAATAAAAATAAAACTGGTAACTAGCTATGAGTTAATATAATCCCCATTGATGCAGAATTATGAAAGATAAAAGAAAATCCCTACTGACATAAGCATGTAAGATTAATAAATGACAAGGAAACTCCAGCCAACTGCTAACCATGGACAACTTACAAGGCTTGTTTACTTTTCAATTTTGCTCCTAAACATAGAATGTAGAGAAGAGGGGCAAACATAGAAGCAGGAGCAGACAGCAAACCAGAGGTCAAATCCACACACCCAAACACATGCAGTGTACCATCGGCTCTCATACTTGTTGCGGAAGAGGGGGTGTTGCAACTCAGCAGCCAGTCTGCTGTATTTAAAACAGTCATGTTGTCCCCTGAGAACAGGAACAGTATAACAGTTCATTGTCTGAAGGTCTGCTGAGTGTACTTGAGCAGTCTTCAATGCTGGCACCACTTTCCGACCTTTTAGCAAGACTAACTGCACCGTATGCCGTCAGTGTTTTAATGTATCAGGTCTGCACTGGTGCACTGAAATATATGTATGAGTCATGAACTTCCTGGCCTTCTTTCAGAGTGCTTGAATTTTTCAGCCTTATTATCTGTGCTCAGCTTTGACTTTAAAGGTAAATGTTCTAGCTCCAGTGGTTATAACTAAATATCCCTATACACTTGCAGTCCCATGTCCATTAATTAGCTGAAATTATAGATGCATGTTTAGAGACAAATAAACAAGGGCAGTGTTAATCTACAAAGGGTTTGGTGTAACACATCATCAAATGCAGGGTAGGTTGCAATGCACACAACTTGACAAAGAAAACAGTGGACTTCAGATTAATTGGGGTGTATCAATCTCACAGGTTTATTTAAAATTTAAAAGAAAATATGATGTGGCAAATGCTGATATCTGGCAATATGAGTAGTTTTCTAAGTAAAAATAGATTGTGCAGAAATTTGACTTTGGTACCGAGACTGAAACATAAAAAATTAAATGTAATAATGAACAATTTGCAATAAAAATTTAATATTGTTTGTGTGTGTATATATATGTGATAATATCTCTAAATATACATATTTTTACACAATTGTATCATGTTCTGACAAGCCGAATGCATTTCTTAAAATTAATAATGGAGAATATTTGAAATAACTACTTATTGTTGCCATAAGTTGTAGAATAGTGATGACTTAATAAAATGAGAAAATTATCTGGAAAATTTTAATTCTCTTTCATGTAAGTGCTAGACACCATAGTATTATTCTTTTTAAAAAACATGAAGAAGATATAAATATTTTATTGCCTTTTAAATCAATTTCAAGAAACATCATTTTAATGGAAATGTAAGGGTAATATTTTTATTTAAAATTTAAACTAAAACAAAAAAATTTAATATTCAAATTTATGCACACATATATGTGATATCTGTTATCCACAAGTTTTAACTTCTGTGGCATAATTACAAGGACAAATACTAAAAAGGTAACCTTTTGAAAGGTCCTCAAATATTTCTCAGAGCTATCTAGTCTTTATGAATGCTCACAGATATAAAGTATTCCACTTTCAAGGTAAGTACAACACAATAATACAATAGCTGGATATTCCTTGGATAAAGTTCTGATTATGGCATCAATAGTAGGATAGCTATTTATTAACAACCCCCCCACTTATAATCTTAAAGCAAACCCTTAGATGTGAGTCTTGGGCAACTTTGAGGTGGCACTTACCTCCTGTCCCGTTTGTCGTGACTGAAGTGCTGCTGAGACTGGATTTATCCAGCTTGGAGCCCCCAGGTGTATCACTGCCCCCGACCAAGGCATGGGGACTTGATAGGTCTTGCATTTCCATAGACCTGTTAGAATGGGAGGCAGAGATTAAACTCGGATTTCAGCAATTCATTTTTTTCCTTGAAAGCTTTGACTGTTCATGTGTGTCAGAGACAGTACACTGAAAATAGGACTTGGTTACACAGTGAGACTGCATGATTTGTTCTGCTGTGCAATCCTACACGCATGTTCCATGTAATGATGCAAAGAAAAGAGCAGATTATGCAAAGAAAAGACTGATTATGACAGTCTATGTTGACAAGGATACCTTCCTGAAATAATCACCTCTAGTACCAACACAGAGGAATAGGAAAATGTTTTACTCCGATAACTTGGCGTCTCCTTTCATCAATGAAGAAGTAACCAGTAGCCATAAATAAACTGAACTCAAATGCAGAGAAAATTCTAGTGACCTTCTTGATCCAGTGGCTGACAATCAGACTTATAACACTTCCACATCCACTCAGAAAGAGGAGACTTTGTCATATTTTGCTACTGAGAATATGCAAGAATTGATGTAACTCAATAAATCTGATATTTTGAAAGGATGCACATTTTCTGGCAAAATTAAAGGAAGAAATGGACATGGTTGGAACTCCTAGATGTGATTTCACAATGGTCAGCATTTTAAAAAAGATTCTCATATAAGTAAAAACCATAAAAAATATTGTCACTAATGTGACTTAACTTAAAGAACCTAATGGTAACTACAGAAATAAGTTTGTTTTCAGTTATACATAGAAGACTGCTAAAAAGACTATGATGGTCTACACGATAAATACTAATAGAATAAATGCAAATCTTATAGAATATGAAATATCCAACCATATTGAGGTCATTCAGAAAACACTGATAGTATATTTTAAACCCCAACCTTTGCAAATTAAATATTATACTTCTAAATAATCTCCTAATGTCAGTCAGAGAAGATTCAAAAATAAATGCAAAGATGATGTATGGGACAAAATAATAGTGAAAATACATCAATTCAAAATACATGGTATGCAAATATAGTGGTGTTTAGTGAGAAATAAAGGGAGGGGCTTAAAAAGGAGGGGCTTAAAAATCTATGATCTACATTTTCATCTAAGGCATTAAAAATAGGAAAATATACAAATACCTGTAGGAGGAAACATTAAAGAGAAGAAACTATTGAAATAGAAAATTACGTGATCAACACAAATAATTTTCAACTCCAGAATATCACTAGAGACAATGGTGGTTTTCAAAGGATGGGAGAACATAAACATTGTGTCAAAGAACTCAAGGATGGCTAAAACTGGTGAATTTCTTAAAAGAGGTCAAACCTGACCCAGTAAAAAATAATTATCAATTGTAGCATATTCCAGGGATGAGTCTGACAAAAAGGTTTAGACAAGAAATGCCTGCTCTGTAAGCATGAGGAACTGCGTTCAATTCCCTAGCGCCCATGCAAAAGCTGAATAAGGTAGGCCAGAGCTGTGATGCCAAAGCTTGAGAGTGGAGATATGTGATCCCTTAAGGTACTGGTCAGTTAGTCTGACTAAATTAGTGAGCTCAAGATTCAGGAAGAGAACATTTCTTGGGAAATGAAGTCAAGAGTCATCCCCAAAATCACCCAGAGTTGTCTTCCGACCTTCAGGTGTATGCAATCACATAAACAGATCCACCTCTATGCACATGAACACACCTCCCCACATAAACATATACATACACCACACAGACACATCTCACACACAAAAAAGTATGTTTCAAAAGTTGAAACAAACAAAAATAAAATCTGGAGATAGTTCACTAGTGAATGCTAGCAAGCATTTGAGGGAAAATAATATGATGCAAATTCTGTCAGCTTAGAATAGGAGGGAATTCTTGTTTTCCTATTGTAGGAGAGCAGCACTATCCCCATCCAGAACCAGACAAAGGCAGTTTCAAGAAGAACATCATGGATTTCATACTTTACCAACACAGCCAAGAAGTTAGGTTTCTATCAAATGGAAACCAGAAAGGAAATGGGAGCTATATTAGGACAAATGAATGTGGTTTATCCCGGACATGCAAAGTAGACTTAAAATCTGGAGATCAGTGAATGCAATATATTGACAAACATTATGCCCACAGTTGCAAAGATGTACTGGATGACATTCACCATCTGTTTGTGACATACATTCTTGGTAACCTAAACCAAGGAGTTTTCCTTCATCTGAATAAAAATTGTTCCTGAAAACCTTTGCAGCTTGAATCACATTTGATAAGGAAATACTGAATTCTTTCAGTGCAAGAAATTAGATGTGTGCTTTCCTCTCTGGCACAGTCATGCAACAGAAAATAAAATATTAATAAGAAATAAGATAGAAAGTTAGTATCATCATAGAGCCCTCATTCAGTAATTGATAGAACCAGATATAGAGATCCACAACCAAGAATCAGGCCAAGCTCCAGGAATCCAGTTGAAGAGAGGGAGGAGGGAATAATGAGCAGTGGAGGTCATGATCACAGAGAAATCTACAGAGACAGCTGAAACAAGCTCATGGAAACTCATGAACCCTAGACCTACAACTGTGGAGACTCCAGGGGACCAGATAGGCCCTCCCTATGTGGGAGACAGTTATGAATCTTGGACTATTAGAGGGTCCCCTAGCAGTAGGACCATGATACAAACCTGATACAGGAGCTAGCTTGTTGGAACCCATGTCCTATGGTGGGATGCCATGCTCAGTCTTAATGCATGGGTGAGGGGCCTGGCTCTGCCCCAACTTACTCATGCGAGCCCTTACCCTTGAGGAGGTATGGACTAGGGGTGGGCTAGGGAGGAGGCGAGGGAGTGGTAGGAGGCCAGGGGGAGTGGAAGGAAGGGTAGGAGGGAGAACTGTGGTTGGAACATAAAATAAAATTTAAAAAATGATAGAAAGTTAAATGATGTTCAAAGGTTTAAGGGCTGGGGATCCTCTTAAAGTTCATATCTGTCTCAATTATGGTGTTTGGTTTTCGAGAAATGTTTGAAATCTACTGGCCAAATTTCCTAAAGTTGAAGGTACAAGGGCTTTGCAGGAAGTAAGTAAAGGCAGAAGATGCCTCCATCTTCAATCAGCTCACGGCTCAGGCACTGAACTATCAAGGCAGTGGGCTGTCAAGGGAGCTGGAAGTTGAGCTGTTCATGGAGCAGCTAGGGTTCAGCTTGTCCCTAGAAGGTCCTGAGTGATCAGATCCTTGCCTTAGCCATCATGTAACAGAAAGGGCTGGCGCTTGGGTAAACATTAACAAAGGAAAACCAAAAGTATGCTTTAGAATTCATTGAGCCTCCTTATGCAATTTTCAGAAAGCTCTAAGTATTCTAAAGAATCCAGAAAGCCTCAGGCCCCCCTGAACATGGGTCACAGCCAGAAGGACTGAACAGTCTGAGGGACCTCAGACAGTGGAACCAGGATGTGTCCCTGGTGCACAAAAGGGCCTTACAGACAAATCCCCCATGGAGGGATACTGCCTTTACCTAGAGACAGGAGAGAAGTTCTAGTCCCTATTTCAAATGACTTGACAGATCTACATGACCCCACCTGGATGACATTGCCTTACATGTGGAATTGGGGAGGGGGGATGGGAGGGGAGGGTAGTTAGGGTGCATGTGAGGGGGTAGAGAGGGTAAAAGGGAGGGAGAAGGAACTGGGATCAACATGTAAAATAATAAATAAATAAATAAATAAATAAATAAATAAATAAATAAAAAGAAAGAAAAAAAAATCCAGAATGTCTGTCCCCCCAGTGGAAAGAAAGTGCATGATCTAGAAGCAGGCCTAGGTTGACCTAGGTTTAGAATCAGCAGACAAGACTTGGATGAGTCTTCATGTAGGGCAATATTGTTTGTACATGTTGTCACCTTCTATATAGCTCTAATGACAAAAAAAAAAAAAAAAGAAATTAATCCTTGGGTTATACCCTAATTAGAAATAAAAACCCAAGCAGAGGTACACACTTTCTAGACAAATGCTTGTGTGTATGTGGCTAACTGCATGAAGTACTTAAAGGAGGCTTGGGATAGACATCTTAGGAGCACCATGAGATCATTTCTCTATCAGGCAAACAGATGCTGAGTTCACAGGGCCTTTTATCATCTGCTGATTTTCACTTGTGTCTTTTCACAGCCATCAATCAGTCAGCATATCCAGGTGACTTGAGTCTTTCAGCCAATCACTGAGCCTGAGACTGGAGATGGGGATCCTCCCAGTTAAGCCCAACCATCACCGACTCAAATTTCTACTAGATGCCTTAATTGGTTCTCAGCACAAGCAAAGGCTTCTCTACATGAGAAGGCAGAGGCTTTGCCTTGGAATTTAAGGTTTAGCATATTAATGATTCATTGATAGGGCACAGTAATGTAAACTTAAAGAGTCAAGCAAATTTTTTTTTTTCCTGAAATTGTTAGCTGGATTTTGATTGGTTCAAATAAAGGACCCGGAGGACGACTTCTAGTCAGTGGTATTACTAAAGGCTCAGAGCAATGTGGGGGCTCCTTGCTAATTTGAACCTTGTACAAGGTGTGTAAGCCAAGAAAATCAGCCAGGAATGAAAGGATGGAGCACACATCTCAGAGAGAAGCAGGTAGGAAAGAACACACAATGCTTCTGCAAAGCAACAAAAAAAAACTTAGTCTGTGAAATACATATAGCCCTGGCCAGTTGCAGTTCAGTCCACAGGAAATGAAAGTGTAGCTATCTTGAACTTAACAGTGTAGCTCCTTGGTTATAGTTGTTTGAGTAGGTTGAAACTTCCTACAATAAAGGGAGCCTTTAACAAACAAAATATAACATTATTACCATGAACTAGAAGTATCTTCTTGGAGTCTCTTTGGTAAGGCATTTAACCATCAAACCAGATACTTTGAAAGTTCAATATTAATAGAATATTTTTTTTTCGAAAGTTACCAAAGTCAATACACACATCTATTTGCCCCATCTAACACTGCTCAGTACATTTAAAGGTGACTCTCTTTTCCTCTTAGGATGTCTATTTCAATCTCCTTTTGATGAACATTATGTCATCAGGCTTTTAAACA